ATTTCCGCTGCTTTTGGCCAAAAAAGGCATTGAACAATTATTGTTATTATTGGACTTGCGAGTGGAAAGGAAAAGCCAGAGCAACAAGTGTGCAATTGAGTTACATTGCGCCCACTAATAATGCACACAGAAAAAAGTCAAGACTTTCCGGTACAGAAAAGGTTATAATTTATAATAGAAGATAAAAAGATATATATTTCCATGTAATCAGAAGCCCAGAAAGCCTCTCAAAAAGGAGTTTTATTAAGGTGTAAAACTAACTAATGGATATATGAGAGTTTTTTAACAAACCAGCTAAAATAAATACATTTTACCAAAAACTAACTACAAATACAGGTAGCTTCTTCTATGGCTACAAGTTCTTCGTTTTTTATTTGCCAACACGAAAGGCAAAGACCGGTCAACTGAGGCAACAAACAGCCACAACAGAGCTCGAATATTGTCAACACACAGCCACTTGCCACACAACTTTGGCTACAACTCCCCTGTGTTTTTTATAGACTCTGGCCAAGAGAGGGTTAAGGAGAGGGAGGGTTAAGCGATAGAAGTGTGCGGGGTGCCGGGACATCCAGCTGCGTAGACAGAGCTCAGACATTACCCAAGCTGCCACAGTCTTTGGCACTTTTCTGGAAAAAAAAACATTATCAATAGAAAAGGTATTCAAGTCGCAGTGGATATACACTTTTTAGGGAAAATATATATATTTTAAATCCCCTAGAAACTATTCTATCGTAAACCTCATCTAATAATTCCCTTTAAGCTCCCTTAAGTCTCCCTTAAGGCCTCTAAATCTCTCCCTAAACCAACCCATTGCCTTAGTTCTGGGACCTTATATCCCCATTTAATGCCCTATCAAAAATCTTTGGCCATTTGGTGGCTTCTTTTTCATTTTTCTTTATTTTTTGGCATGCGCCGCGTGAAAAACGAAATGAAAAGTTGTTGCGATGTCCAAGTTGCTGCTGCTGTTGCTGTTGCAGTGGTCAGTTGCAAGGCTGCAGACCCAGCAAAAAAATATATATAGTGGACACAGCAAACACACATTTGAAAATGGAAAGTCGATGTCTGGCTTGTCGTTGGCAGTTTTGTTTTTTTCGGGGTTTTCTTTTTTCTATCTTTTATTTTCGTTTTTCATTTATTTTTGTGTATTTTTTTTTTGCCTGCAACCGGTTGCATTTGCAACATTAGCACATGCAACACATTTTTTGTACTTCGAGTATTTTTATTAGATTTTGATTTATTATTTGTGTGGATAGCCGCTAAGGCTGGTCTAGCCGGCTAATTGGAATTGGCCAGGCAGGAAAGGTAGGAAAATGTTGGAAGGAATTCTCTTGCTCGCGAAAAGGAAAGCGAAAGTTAAAGGCCTTAAATTTGAAATTGAAATTTCTTGTCGACCTTTTTTTTTATGGCGGCCAAGAGGAAAAGCAAAAGCCAAAGTTGCGGCTTGCGACTTGCGACTTGAAGCCAAGTGCACGTTTAGTTTGGGCCATAAACTGAGCGCACTGCCATTATGAGCTAACACCGGAGGAGATCGCCGAACCAAAGGGGTTTCTTTTCGCACTCGTCGGGGTTATATAAGGTTGTGGCGAAACCCCACCGAACGTCATTAAAATTGCAAATTTCTTTCCTCTCTTTGCGAACCAGAAACTAATAAGCAGGTGCTCGGAATGGATCCAGAAATATCTCAGCCATTGTTACAACCAAAGGGAGAGGGGGTAATATGGAGATATACATATATCCACGAGGTTCGATTCTCTGTCAACGCTTTCAAGAATCGCTGCTGAAGTTCATAAATAAAACATCAGTTTAAATTAGTGACTTTGGCCATGACTGTTATATTTTGAATAGAGACAAAAACCATAAATTGGTTTGATTTATAATCGCATAGAAATACAAATATTTATTTGATACGTTTCCTAGGTTTTTGAAGGGGAACTACGACGAACTACCGTTTCATTGTCGTGGATTCGAGCTATTTATTTAATGTGTCTTTTATATCTTTTTGATAACCATCTCAAAATCAATTTGGCAGATAATTATCTTTATTTTCGATTTGATTATAGGTTAAAGACATCGAGTCTGTGTTTTATTATATTTATTCTTATATAATTATCTTTATTTGTAGGAAGAATAAATTGAGCTTTTGTTAGTCTTTTTTATTTATTTTTAAATAATAAATTTGTTAAGTGTGTGTTGCTTTAATTTTATTGAACCTTTGTCTATTAATTTCTACACAAGACCTCATCAAATACCTTACCTTTTCGACTAGCATTTAGAAGAGTAATAACATTTTTTTAAATACTTGGCACTTATTTATATTTTAAGTAACATTTGTGTCCTTAGAGGTTTTAGAAGTATTATTTCCTAAATAATATTGTTAATAATATTATGCTTATTTTATAAATAATTATTGAGGAACTAGGCCACAAAATTTATTAGGTTTTAGCCTCAAATATATACTCTGAAATTCTTATATTATTTTTGTATATGTTTATATGCCTATAAATCTTGTTCACCTTTTAGAAATCTCCCCTTGAGATATTCTAACACCTCTTGAGCTCTCCTTTTACAGTTTTTGGCAAACAATTAACAATTAAAGCTCTACAGTTGTTGGATTTCCTTCTTAAGATCATCATTTATCGACCATTTATGGCTAGATATATTTAGAGCTTCAAGTTTACTTTCTTTCATTACCATTTTGCGGTAGATACAAGAGGCCGACGAGCATCCCACGACATCCTCAAGATACACTTTCACGCCTCGATTTCAATTTCAGACCGTAATCAAATATATATCTTGTTTTTTTTTGGCCACTCGAAGAGCCAATAAAGAAATAATAAAAACGCACAACAAGTTAGCGAGTTGATCAATTAACATTTGGAATTATTAATTTACGGGCAAAAACTATATATACATCTAAGTCATTTTCCATTTGCCATTAAGTGTTTATAACTTTCACTGCAGCGAGGCGGTCTCATCTGCCGATAGAAAACATTAATTAAAGCATTAAATGCACATAATTAACGCAGTCGCCGATGCTGCTTCTTTTTCTTCTTTCTCTCGGTTATATATGGTTATGTGTACCATACATATATCTTTCTCCAAGTCCAAAAAGCAGTTGCATATGTATATGGATGGGTTTTTAATGATTTTCCTTTGTTTTTCGCAATGTTTTCGCATGGGAAACGCTGATGGAAACTGCAAAAAAAAAAAAAAAAAACTGGGGAAGTCATTGAGGAAAAGACGTCAAGTTGCAGTGTTAACCTTGAGTTTTCCGGGGTAATAAATTAAACAGTTTTAGCTCCCGGAGGATTGCGGTTAACACATGTAATTTCTTTTTATTCATATGCGGAAGATGGAGGAAAAATCAAGCGCGGTTAGATGGTTAATAAAGGAAATAAGCTTGAGATAAATATAGATAAAACTTCTTTTAATAAAATCACATATTCAGCGTTGGTTTCTTATATTTTTTGTAATGTTAATTCAGCAAAAACAATCCTAATGAGTCCCCCCTCCAAAGACTAAACAAAAGCCTATTATGAACCCCAGACCATATCGTTGTTAACTTCATGCCAACATTATGTAAACGAGCCAACCTATAAATCGGAAGCAGAGTTTTACTAACTGTAAAAAGATGCCTCGAATAAAGGCTTAAGAGAAGAGCCAAGCAAAAATGCCAGACATGTGTGTCAAATACGTTGAATATGTAAAAATCCAACCCAAAACCGAAATGCGGCAAGAAAAAATGCCAAAATAAAACGGAATAAAATTATAAAATGTTTGACTTTGCAAACCGGTTAAAGTTGAAGCATAATAATCACATATCAGAACCGGATTTGGATTTAAGAACTGTTCAAAACAAAAAATAAATGAAAAACCGTAGTCAGCGAGACCCAAAAAATCAAATAAAGCGAATTAAGTGCTTCGCTAGAGGCTCTTGGTCTCTTCGGCTTTTGTAATATTTAACCAATTAATTTTTACAAAAAAAAAAATCAGTCAAGAAATGAATTAAATTTTGAAAGTGACAGAACTAATTATAACTTTTGGGAATTAAATTTAAAGCCTCAATCAAAGAAGTTACTACATTTTCAGATATTTGCATTTTTTAATTCATTTTGGACTTACAAATATAGATTTAAGAAAGTGTTTAATATTTTAAAAAATATTAAATCTAGTAAAAGGTTAATTTTGACTTGTAATAAGATGGAATTTAAAACAAATATTAATTTAAAATCTATTTACGGTTTTATTAAAAGCTTTTCATTACCTAATTAATTAACAAAATACACACAAAATCATTTAACAATTAAAGCAGTGTCAAAACCTATCACAAATTAATTTCAACTTGATTGAAACCCGATTGAGATCTGCCAGAAAGATTTGCAAACTCTTCTCGGCGCTTTCTGACAGCCGTGAAGCATGCAAAATTGGCTCCAAAACCGAGGGGCTCTCTGTAATATTTATAATAAACAAGTCAACGCTTTTGGCCAGAAAAACCAAAGCATAAAAAAGAGAAGTATTTTTGGCCAAACAGATTGCCAAAGTTATTGCCTGTCAGGCCAAGTGACGGCTGGCCAATCTCTCAGGTTTCTCGTTTGGGTTTTTTGTGCTTTTTTTTCGGGGTCTCTCAGATCCCGCTGATTATTGAAAAGAGAACCAAAAACCGAACCGAACCGTGGCCTCTTCCGGATTACAACGAGAAGATAAGCCAGGCTTTGGTCAGTGCTAATCACAAGCTGCCTTCAACGCCATTGATTTATTGGCAGATTTCAAGTTAACACTTTGCGCCGATCCCAAATTGAGTTATTTATTCCCCAACAGGTTGCACGTAGCACGTAGCCGCGTTGCACTTGCTGCTTAGATTTATACTCGTAGATTTTGGCAGTCGTGTTAATGAAGTTTTTCCCTTGATTTATGTGTCGCCACAGGAAGTGGGCTTGGTCCTGTCTCCTGGTCAAATCGATTTGGAAATCTAATTGGAGTTTCTTTCCCTCTTCTTGCAGATTCTCCTTTTCCCGTCTGTGTGAAACGCTGGAAAACCCATTAAGTGGTAAGTGTTTGGGACATAAAACCATTTAACAGCAAACAATTAAGGTGTCAAATAAATATTTCTGTTTAGTGGCGATTACCATCAACTAAATGGGGGAAAAAATTCACAACAAAAAGCCGGGCTTAGATAAGCCTTCACCAATGCTCTTCGCTCCAGTTATGAGCGTTTTTATTCAAAAGCTGAGGCCACTATTCTCTGGGATTTTTATGGTTTCGCTTAACTGCACAACAAGTTTTCAGTTTTGTCAATCCAAAAAAATGAAAGAAAGAAAAACCCTCAGAGAAACCTTCACAAATGACAAAACACGAACGAAGAAATGTCAAACATTTTAGTTACGGGGGAAAAAAAAGTGAAAAGCTGAGAAAATCAAAACGCAAAAAGAAAATTATAATTTTCCTCAGCAATTCAGGCATGAAAATGGGTTGCCAAAGTGAAACTGAAACTGGGTTGTTACACCTGACTAAAGGTTTTACTTTAATGGCTATGAGCCAAGGATTTTCAGAGGCATAAATCATCTGCAATTTTTTTGGGCATTTATTTTGTTGACTGCTTTTTTGCCTCACCTTTTCACTTGGTCACTTTTTTCTTGAGCTGTTTTATAAATTTATTTTTTGATGCTTAAAGAAAACTGATTCACGGGCTTTTGTGGGTCAAGTTTATTGTCTTCTGCTTTGGGTTTTTGTGTTGGTTCAAGCCATGAATCATTTGGTATAATTTTTGGCTCGTTTTCTGGGGCCCATTAACAATGTTTAATTAGATATTTATCTTGGCACATCCATCGTTCTTCTGTAGCATAAATCTATAGGGTTCTTTCAATAGCTGTTTCCCTTATTGTGTGATTCACAGCAAATTGCCAATTGTTGTCTCTATATTCTCTTTGTCTGTTTCTGCCAATTCTCAAAAACCGAAAAGAAAAAGAGAACTTGTAAGCCAACAAAAGCTAGACCAAGTTCATAAATAAATTTGTTACAGTTTCTGGCATTTATTTTTGGGTTCTTGGATGGGGGGAATAAACAAACCTTTTGAAAGCTTTGAAAATTTATAGATTTCTTTCAATTTTCAACGGCGATTCTTGGCCAGTTCTTTTCTATGATAGAAATGCTTCCCATACAAATCCTTCTTTAGTTGGTTCTTTACAATGGCAGCAGCGGAGAAAGGTGAAGGCCGGGCACATATATACTTTCTAAATGCACAAATCATGGCAAGTCGTCTCGCACAAAGAATTCAATTCAATGGCCAACAGAATAAACATTTCGGGGACTACCGCCTAAATAGGCTTTAATTAACAATTTATGTGCAGCAAGGCAAGGCAAGGCACCATCGGTGATGCACCATCATGGCGGGGCTTTATCTCCTTCGGAGTCTGTAATCTGCTGGCTACTGTGCGTTGTCACAGGCAGCTCCTGCGGCGGCTCCTACTGCTGCTGCTGCTGCTGCTCCTCTTTCTGCCCCGTCATCCTTAATTATTATGATTATCGATGTTTTATGCTCTATAATTGCCGCTGGCTGGAGTGACTCGCTCTTTTTTTGGGCGTCTCCCGGGTCCAGCCCCCAAAAGTGCTGGCTGGGCCCCTTCTGGCTTCCCTCCCCTGCCTTTACCTCTGCCTAATTGATATAATTCCCCCTGTTTAAACTTGACTGGGCGCTGGGGATGGGATGTCTAAGCTCTTTCCCGGTTACTTTGTTGCCTGCCTGTCAAGTTTGTGTCCTAAGTCTTTCGTTTTGGCTGTCGGCCGCCGCTGGTTCTACATAAATTATGTCCCAACTTAATGGTTATCTCTCAGTTGGTTAGCCAAGTGTCAGCCTAACACACAAGACAAGCTCATATACATACATATATATTTTATATATGTACATTTTGTTATATATAAAAAATAAGAAATAAAAGACAGCAGATAAGCTTGTGTTTTTGATAAAGTTTTAGCTTCTGACTTAGATCACAATATCCTCCAAAAGTTTAAAAATATTCAAAGCTAGCTTACTTATTCCCAAATCTCATTTTCTATTACCTTCTGGCTACTGTAAGGATTCCTGAGAGTCACTCAGTGAGCTCTCTGGCAGCTCTATCCGGATTCCAGATCCCCAAGATCACATCCATCCACATCTGTCCAGGGCGGGCGTGCATTAAAATTTATTATATAAGCCAAACAGAGGAGAGTGGCTGCTGTGAAATGCAAGTGGCACGTTGCACGTTGCACGCTGCACGGGTTGCTGCAATCTCTTAAAAATCTCGCGTACTCATCAACAACATTTCAAAGTGTACGTACATCAAAGTGGACTAGCCCCCTCTGACTCTATAACAGTTGTACATGGCAGAAGGTGTATCGCCTAAGATCGCAAAACAAAAAAAAAAGCTATCTAAACAGGAAACCCAACAGCAACATCAGAAGCAGGAGGAGGAGTTGGAGCAGCAGCAGCAGCAACCACAACAACAACAATGTCGTTGGCGGCGTCGAGTAAATTAAAACAAAACGTTGTCGTCGTCTCCACCTCCTAAATTGTGTTCCTCGGGCTTTGCCACTGATCCTGCCCCTCATCTGGATCGTAATGCTGCTTTGGCTCTGGGCTTCTCCTGTTCCTACAGCTCCTCTTCTACCTTGTGCTCCTCCTGGCTGCTAGAGCTCCTTTATTGCCTGTTGGTCGTTTGGCAGAGAGAAAAAAAAATTAGGGTACCATACAGAAAATATTACTTAATATACTTTATATTAAAATCTATCTACAAATATGCTTTTTGAGGCACTTACACAACAGAGAAAAATTACTATATAATATTCCTGCCATTAAATATCAAATATTATAATTTTCTTTTATAGAAAATAATATTTGAATGTGCTTTTAATTATTCAAAATAATATTTACTATTTATTTAAATTTTCTAAAATGTTTGTATATTTAAAAATATATATTAAATACCCCTCTTTTCCCTCTGTGTACATGTTCTACTGTTTGATGCTCCTCCTCGCTGTCTGACTTTGTCTGCTACTGTCTGCTGTTTTGTTGCCTTAACACTTTGCACAAATATTATTATGTATTATGCTTTTTTGCCCCCATGTTGTTGTTGATGGATTGCACGTCTGTCGTGAAGAACTCAACTTCAACTTCAGCTTCGACTTGGAGACTTCGACTTGGACTTGAGTGAAATGGCAGCCACTTTTATCTGTATTTTTCTTTCCTTTTTTTTGGGCGGGAGCAGCGCAATTTGAAGGTCAAATCTGAGTTGGCTGTGTTTTTTTTTGGGAAAGTCTCAACGTAGCCGAAAAACTTTGTTTTATTAGCATCAAATTTTGGCCGCTGCGAAGATGTGGGATGTTGGAAAACAAAAAAGAAGAGAAGAGGAAATATTTTCGAATGTCTGAGCGCACTTTATGTAAGAGATTTATCTAGCAAATGCATGAGGCAGGGAAGTAGGTTTTAAAGGGGGTTTTAAAAGGGGTTAAAGAGGTTTAAATGGGGTTTAAAAAGGTTTTGAGTAAAAGGAAATGATTTTTACTTGGGTTTTATTATTTAAAAAGATCAAAGACAGTGAATAGATCTTAATAAACTGTAGTGAAGTGTCTTAATCATCAAAGATTTTATAAATTGTGAACAAAAACTTAGCAATTTTCTAAGATAAAAATATCTTTAGAGCTTCAAATTAATGTACACATTTTTTAAGCCCCTAAAACATTGCAATTTTTATTATTAAATAAGTTTTAAAGACTCTTAAAAGCTCAGATTAGTATTTATCTCCAGCTAAAAGCATTAAACAATCTTTTCCCTAAAATCCAAGCCTTAAAAAGCACTTAAATTTTGTAAACCCACCCCCTTACTCGTTTAAAACCCTTATAACAACGCCTCTGACATAACCCCCGCTCTCTCAAGTGCAATAGCAAACAAATATCTTTTTTTTTTTTGGCCCAAAGCAACGCCTCTGCCTTATGGCCAGGGCGCGCCTGTGAACCATAAACCCAAAAAAGCATAAAAAAAATACAGAAAATTATGACTAAAGATGGAGAGCCAGAGATGAAATTCGACATTGGAATGCCAATCAGGGAAATCAGAGAAAAATCAACAGAGAACAAGCCATGATTTCATGTTTTTTATGATTTCCCAACTCCAAAGGGAAGTGCAATCGATTGATTAGTCACGCTTCTTAGCTGGAGATCATCCCAGAAATTCATTTATTTAGCAGACAAGTGCTAAAGCAAACATATAAATTCTAATCCCAATCGGTATCTGGTAATTAAGCGGGGAAAAACGAGTCTAACAATGGAAGTCATGTGTGTATGTATACATGTAAAATGCAAAACCTGGCCAAGCTGCAAAGCTGCGAAAAATTCTAAAGCTGAGCTGCAAAACAGCAAATAATCTGAACCACAAAGGCAACAGGTAACAGGTAACAACAGGTGCACAGCTGGAGATCAGCAGCAGCACCAACAACAAGTTTACCATAATCACAATAATTTTCAACTCAACTGGACACAAGTGGCACAAACGGAAACAACAAAAGCCCGAGAATGTGCCATAAATACATTGGGATACATTCTATATAGTAGAGGGGGATTTGAAGCTAAAGTCGAAGCCTCAAATGGTTGATGGAAGAGCGAGGCATTCTTCTGGACAATTCAATGAGATTTGAAGGTTACTTTCTATAGAGAGTGTTCTTTTCCTAGGTCTTAATCAAGTTTATGGGTTAATATATGGGTTTACATTTTATGATCTCAATTATGATTATCCTTAAGCCTTAAGGCCTCCAGTTAGTCTTAAACTGCAGAGCTTTAAGCTGAATTTAAACCCACATTCCTGTGCCAGTAGTTCATGTGTTCTTTTCACCATTGTGCAAATTATAAAGCCATGTCCCATGTCCAGGTGATTGACATTGCCACGTAACGGAGACTGGACTCACATTATAAAGCCATAAAAATAACACCTTCTTCTGTGGGCATCCATCATTGGTGAGCTGCTGCTGCTGCTGCTTCTGAGCTCCAAGAGGTTTTCGAGGTACCACACGCAGCGTTCAA